CTATATATTTTTTAAAGGTAAAGGTTCTACTACCAGTATTACAATCTCACATAAACCTTAATCATTTTATACCCTTCTTAGCTAGCTTATACTACTTATATTATGGTTATAATTAAAAATCTATCAATCCAAATCACGATTTATTTTGATGATTTTTCAAAGAACTACGATCACAGTATTTTCTTCGTTCCTGGGTGTTTCTCGATCAAAATTTTCAAAGGGTTCTTTTCTTTATAAATTCGGCTCAGCTTCGTCTAAATTAGAGAGAGAGAGAGAGAGAATACACTTTATTGCACACCAACATAATTTACATTAAAAAAAAAAAAAAAAACCTGTTAAAAAGCACATATGTACAATAGGCGGTCTTATCGCTAAAAGCGATCTCTTCCAGACAACCGTTTAATTTACAGAAATTCTGTAAAATATAAAAATATAGCATATAATACTATCAACTACGTTAATTAGATTAACGCAGACTAATATAATAGACGTGATATAGAATCCATCCCTTTGACATAGACAGTATGATCATCTTCTTTTTTTTTTGAGCAATGACTAAAGAAATGATCAAATTTCTACAATATATGAATTGTACATAAAAAAATAACATCAATTTTTTATTTTAGTTTATATTATTTATCATGAAAAAAACTACAGTTCGATATTATAAAGAAACAGGAATTTGTTATATGTTATACTATATATATTATCTACACATGATACTATATCACATTATACGATACTTTATATTTTGTTAGTATTATGGGCAGTATAATTTAAAAGCACCGTCTAGACCGAGATAGACCAGAGAGGACTGTTGGCGCGCGGTCGGATGTACTCACCGGTGCGGCGAAAGCTGCAATTTCCGGCGCCACCCAGGGTTGAAAGCTTTTACTGGTTAATATACGGTAAAAGTGAGCCAACATTGCGTAGCTACAAAAATTCACAACTGATCAAACAGTTTACTTAGTCTAATTTAGTAACGAAAATTTGTTACGACCCGCCGCAGCCACGAGCCTACTACTGACCTACTAAAGTTTACTATGATCATTCTTAGTTTTAGATTTGAATATATTGTCTAGAATTAGTAACAATTAGGCCTAAGCGAGTGTTCCCCAATGAAGACCACTAGAAGGACAGTTAGTTAGTTGAATAGGCAAGTTTCCAATGGAAGTTGGTCGTTTTTCATTTCCCGTCCAGCACCCCTAGTGTTGCCATCAATAAACGTCCGGATTTATGTAACCGAGTTTATGTCGGACCCTTCTCCTGTCCAGGGTTGCCCTTTACGTTTGATCACGCGATACGAGATAGGGCCTTCGATAAAGCAATTTATGTGGATTTTTTCGGCCGCCTTTTAAAGATGATGACCCTGTCGAGAATCGTTCTGGACTATAATGACTTATTCTCTTTTTCGTTTTCCAAGCGGTGTCTTTGAATCTACACTGACAATGACAATTCAACGTGTATTAAATAATTTGAAGATAAATCATTTAATTTGATTAATCATTTCTATAAAGATATTCCACCTTTGGCAAAAATTCAACTTATCAGATTTCATAAACGTTTTCTTACTGGAGTCATACGACTGATATACATAATTTATAATTAATAATAAACGGTCGTCTGGTGTAGTGGTAAGTGACATGGTCACTACACAAGGGGGTCGCGGGTTCGAATCCCGCCAAGGGAAGATATTTGTATGATAAATATAAATGTCTTTTCCAGGGTTATGGATGTATATTAAATATATGTACGTGTATAATAAAAATCTTACATTTATTTCCGTTATCTGATACCTGTAACACAAGTTCTTTACGAACTTAGCACAGGACCAGTTAACGTGGCGTGATTGTTATTAAATATTTATTATTATTATTATTATTTATTAATTAGAACTAAATGTATATTCCGAAAACTGCGTCCATATACGTATATGTTCATAAGTACGTACTAATGAACACAAATATCATACATAATGTATTTCTTTTAATCATTGAACGCTCTGAGTCAACGATGTACACATGTCTTCGTATTAATAAGCCATGGTATGGAACATTTTCAGGAAATTCGTAATCACTTTACGCCGGTACGAAATAAATCAATAAGCCGTGGTGATCAAAGAACGAATTCATTGCTTTGACTAAAAAATCAGGTGTACCTACTGAAATGTTTTTTCTCTATCTATTCACTGGTAGCGGGGCTATTACAGCTATGCCCGGATGAGTAGGTGAGCTCACGGGCTCAACCTGAGAGAAATTCCTAGCACTTGCTCTAGCAAGAGCAGTGCTTCGCAGAATCTACCTCCGGATCGGAATCGCGACCCACCTAAAAAAGCCGACGAGAAACTTAGTGGGCTGTGTCTATGGATTAGCTCACTCAGCGAACTCTTCGTTCGACTAGGACGGTGACATGTTGAAAACATTTCGAATATATCATCATCAAAGTGAAGAAATCACGAAAATGTCAAGTATTTGAGAACGACACAGACAGATAACACAATCCTATTAAATTCTGACAGCTTTTAAACTCACTAATTGAGACATCGAACTCATTTCCCAAGGTAACCTCTTAATAGCAGGTGCACCGTGAGCTCCTTCACGCATTTATGTAATAAAAAAAGAAATATATGTATTAAATAAAAACTTAGCTTATATTATAGATTAAATAAACTCTTACATAAATAATATAATAGAAAGATAGTTTTTTTGTACACGAAATTGGTTAAGAACATTAACACAATTACTTATCCCGAATCGCAGAAGCCAGTCACCGTCGACGCCCTAGACACGTCCTTACGGATCCATCAGATCCAATAACCTTTGCATTAGACGCCTTCAGCTTTAACACTAGGAGCAGGCTTAGGGAGCCCGGTAACCGTACTCGTCGAACTCAACAAAGAGTTCGACGTATGAATCAGCTCGCTGAGTTTCTCGCCGGATCTTCTCAGCGGGTCGAGATTCCGATCCAGTAGTAGATTCATTCGCAAAGCAGCTGCTCTTGCGCTGTTAGGTCTCCTTCGGAGGCGCTCGGGCAGCTGTTAGCAAATCCCACCCCTTCTGGCTGAGCCTTTGCTCGCCCACCTGTCCTGGTGAAAATGGAAAGACCTACGGGCCACCAGTAATCCTTCAATCATAAAAAAAAAACAATTACTTATTATTTTTTCGGTTCTGTGTGTTTGATTACCATAAAACGCATCAGCAATGAAACTGAACCAACATGTAAAAATAAACTCTGTAAGATAAAAAATAGAGGTCCTAATTAGCTAGCAAGATTCGACCTGAGCATTCAAACATCGCAAGCTAAATAAAAGCTTGTAATAAACGCTTACACTTAAGGAATGTAAATTAGATTAGTACCAATTTTTCTAATGAAATACGTACTCAATAAAATATGTTCACGATTGACTTCCACGGTGAAGGAATAACATCGTGTTATAAAAATCAAACCCGCAAAATGATAATTCGCGTAATAACTGGTGGCAGGAACTTTTGTGACTCCGCGCGGGTAGGTACCACCACCCTGCCTATTTCTGCCGTGAAGCAGTAATGCGTTTTGGTTTGAAGTGTAGGGCAGCCGTTGTACTGTTAAAAGGGAGACCTTAAAACTCATGTCTCTAGGTGGCTGGCGCATTTACGTCGTAGATGTCTATGGCCTCCAGTAACCACTTAACACCGGGTGGGCTGTGAGCTCGTCCACCTATCTAAGCAATAAAAAAAATTGTACTAAGAACTCGCGTGCCCATCATAACTTAATAAAAAATATTCAATTGGATTTTGATAATAACGTCATAACGTTTTAGTATTAAGATAGTTAATGTAAGGCATATCTGAATGCACCCTTCATAGTTTGGCTTAAACCGTATGAAGGTTGAAATAGTACGAATACTTTAATAACGCAGATAATTTACTGATACACATCATCGATTTTATCAAAATTTCTGACTCGGTGGTGCTGTAGTTAGCGATTCACTGTTGGGCCAAGGGTCGTGGGTTCGATTCCCACATCGGGCAAAAGTTCGTGTGATGAACAAATTTGTTTGCTCTTCGTCTGGGTGTCTATTGTCTATATATGTATGTATTTAAACGTGTATATAAGTATGTAAGTCAATATTTGGTACCGATAATGCAGGGAATCATAATTTAGGGCCAGAGATGACCGTGCGTGATTTGTTCACGGGTTTTTCTTTTTTTCTGAAACTGAATTTTTGTATCGGTAACCTTCAAAACGACCCGATGAAAACGCTCGGTCGCAGATAATGCTTTTTTTTCTTTCCTACCTATGCTGATAGCCTCGAGAGGCTATTTCAGCTTCACCCTAACGTGTGTAGGTGAGCTCACGGGACACAAACCGTAGTGTTGCTAACACGGACCCTAGCAAGAGCAGTGCTTCGCGAATGAATCTACTACCGGATCGGAAACGCGACCCACTGAGAAGATCCGGCGAGAAACTCAGTGGGCTAGATAATACTAGTGACGGTACATGCAATACGATAAAGGGATTCGTTTGAACGTCGTATAAGTTTGATGCAAACATTGACGCGTCACGTTTTTTCATTATATCCAAAACGTGAAGTGTGATATTACGGTCATAAGCTTTACGACCGCGAGGGCACGAAGGGAGATCTCAATTATTCCTTTACAAAACTTTACGATACCGAGAGTGAGTGAAGACGTTAACACGCCTCACATAACAAGGTGGGTACAACCTTGACACGATTCCAGACCTTCGCAGATCATTTGAATATTAAACAGTCTCACGGGACTAAAGCTGGTAACTATATAATCAAATTTCGTCAGCTATTTCCCAGTTCATTTACTAAAAAAAGAAAAAGACAAAAAAAAAACATAAAAAAAATCTCATGTGTCATTACAGCTGCGAGCTTCACAATGACCAAAATACTGACGACTCAAGGTTGAATGTTCGCATTCTATATAAAATGGCCGTAACATCTCGTTGGGTGATTAAGATACATTGGTTCGTAGACGAAGGCGGATACTCACTCAAGGGCGACAGGACCTCACAGAGCTAGCACTCACTGGACTAAACAACACTTCACTATAAGCGCTCCGACCGTGTTCTGGAAGACAGTCAGTGGCGTGTAAATTTAGCTGGCGAGTGGCGATCGGCGATGCGTCGTCGCGGCGTGAACGGCGGGCGGTGACTGCTGGGGCGTCTAGGCGGCGCCCGCCTAGCCGCCGCCGCGCCCCGCGCCTTATCACACGAATAAAATTTATTTAATGGATAACCCGGGCAGCGATGGGATAACCATTGAAATTCTGCCGCTTTACGACGCGATTATTAATGACTTAAGTGCTATTTGGAATAATTTTTCCGGTACGTTACACGTTCACGCCGACGGTCACGGGTTATTGACGGAATATTCCGTGCTCACGGAAACTGAAACAATTTAGATCGTGTTTATTATATACTAGCGGCCCGCTCCGGCTCCGCTCGGGTCTTTAACAAAAATTTCAACAATATCTGACGCTGTTTTATTTTTAAAAAAAAAAGAACACTTATTGGGGCATAACTATAATAGTTAGACATATGCTGTCGCGACACTTCTTGTAAATAATAATGTGCTCTACAAAGTCGTAGTAAATTATTTTATTCTATCATCAATAGTTTTCGTAGGGCACGCGATGTAAAGAATATTTTAGGTAATTTTATACACCTTGGGTTACATTATTGGAGTTTTAGTATGAATCCCTAATTTTTTTCAAAAAAGATTATAGCCTATGTCACTCGGGAATAGTGTAGCTTCCAAAGAGTGAAAGAATTTTTCAAATCGGTTTACTAGTTTCGGAGCCTATTCAATACAAACAAACAAACAAATCTTTCCTCTTTATAATATTAGTATAGATTAGTATAGATACGCAGCGGCGCATTAATGAAGCGCTTACGTTCATGTGGGTCGTATATCGAGGAAGGCAATTTAATTAGCATCGGACGCGGAATGGTGATAATTTGTAGTTATAAAATAAAACTTCATAACGTTATTTAAAAAATGTTAAAAAATGCTAACAAATTGGAAGTTGATTTTTCGAAAACACTTTTTTTATGTTGAAGCGAAAAAAATCGAAAGTATAAATCGAACAACGAATTTATTAGTTGAGTTATATTTAGTAAATGTAAAATATAAATACTAAATTAATCTGGGCCGTACTGTTGTTTGTTTGAGCGATTAGAAGTTGTTAAGGAATGTAATAAAAAAAACAATGGGGAGTTTGTTACATTTTTGACATACTTCCATTATGGATGCATACTTCACAGAAAAATGATTGAACCGTATACGTAATTTTCATTATGACTATTATATCTGTTACAAAATAGATTATTCTATTATATAAAATGTCATAACAAAAATATAACATTTTATATAATAGAATAATCTACTTTGTAACAGATATAATAGTCATAAAGAAAATTACGCTTACGGCTCAATCATTTTTCTGTGAAATATTCGAAACATAATGATAATAATTTAAAACAAGAAATAAAACGCTAAGGTAGCTACAATTAGGCATATTATTCCAAAAAAAAAATAATAGAAAAAATAATAGAATTAATTGTGTGATTGTATTTCTTTTATTGTTATTGGTACACGTCTGCATTGAAATTAGACTAACTAGATGAGATGGTAACAATAAAACCAAAAGAAAACCAAAAGGTTCAATTAAAACTGAGAAACTGTTAATGAAGTTGTTGTAGGCAGCGGCTTGGCTCTGCCCCTGGCATTGCTGAAGTTCATGGGCGACGGTAACCACTCACCATCAGGTGGGCCGTATGCTCGTCTGCCTACAAGGGCAATAAAAATAAATAAAAAAAAGGAATAAAAACCGAATTAAACAAATGTTTGTTTAAGTAAAAATATTGAGCTCAAGACCCAACTGATGCTAAGTGATTTCTCATATAAATTACTAAGTGTTGCCGCTACCAATAAAATATGTAAGTCATTTTTTCAGAATTTATTTTTGCTAACCATTTTTTTTATATACGTTGCCGGATGATGTCAACGATTGGTTGAGGTGTAGTAAGCTAAGGGCGTATTACAAAAATTGATACGTGCTTGCGGGATTTTAACACAGGCATAGTTGATTCGTTCGATACCAGTAAACCAAGTGTATCTTATCCTTTGAGCCACTGCGACTTTCCTTAACTTGTACGTGTTTTTGGCACAAGAAAAAATCATAGCTAAGGGTTGTCCAAAGTGGGACATTTCTTAACCAGAAAGATTCATTAAGCCCCTCTTAAAAAATTTAAACGGAAATAAAAGCGTTCCTAAAAAGAGACAAACGTATTATTAATGTTTATGCAAGAAAATAATATCGAATACTTTGAAAGGTTTCATTCCAACCGCGTGCGAAACGTACACATGTTTTTCATTCATTTTATTCAATCCGATATTGTCGTGACGTCTAAAATTTGAAGCCGTTCAATCTGTTGGCATTTTAATTTACAATATCTTTACCACGCTGACCATTACAACGTGTATGACCTCACAGTTGCTTAATTTTATAAATTACTAGCTGACCCGGCAGACTTCGCAGTGCATCAATCGATAACTAAAAGACCTAAGCTTTTGTATAAAATAAACATAAAACAAACAAAAGGAATCCGTCCGGCGGGGGACACATCAAAGGAAAAACAAAATTGTTATTTTTATTTAATTCCGAACATTTTCATTCATTTAACTACCTTTTAAACCTTCTCTGGACTTTCATAAATAATTCAAGACCAAAATTAACCAAATCGGTCCAGCCGTTCTCGAGTTTTAGCGAGACTAACGAACAGCAATTCATTTTTATATATATAGATAGAAGAAGAAGATAGAAGATTATATTCCTGCATTAATTCTTACAAAAGAAGAAGAGTACGTAGCGTTTTCAGATTACCTACTAAAAAATCCATAAACACTTAAACGATTGTCTCTCAGGAAGTCGAGATAACGAATACATTCCTCTTGAATATTATATTAAATATCGTGAACAGGAACTTGGGGTCAAGGCGCTGATGATGTCACGTCGCGTGAGCTATTGATCAGCGTCCTCCACGTGGAAACTAGATCAGTTTGCTGTTAATAAATAGTTAATCCAGAACCTTCAGCTGAAATCGACGAATTTGTTTAAAAATACTATTGTTTGATTCTTAAGTAGACTTGGGTTTAGGGTAGTCTAAACCCTAAGGCTCACTAAAGCTACTTATGCAGTTTCATTTCGCATTTTTTTTTCATTCTACATAGAGATAATATAAGAATAAGTTTCTTATAATTAGTTAGTATATCTTATAAGTATAGTAACATAACTATTATTTAAGCTGATGATGATGTTATAGTGTAAGTTTACTGGTGGTAGGACCTCTTGTGAGTCCGCGCGGGTGGGTACCACCACCCTGCCTATAAGAATAAGTTTCTTATAATTAGTTAGTATATCTTATAAGTATAGTAACATAACTATTATTTAAGCTGATGATTATGTTAAAGTGTAAGTTTACTGGTGGTAGGACCTCTTGTGAGCCCGCGCGGGTGGGTACCACCACCCTGCCTATTTCTGCCGTGAAGCAGTAATGCCTTTCGGTTTGAAGGGTGGGGCAGCCGTTGTAACTTACTTGAGACCTTAGAACTTATATCTCAAGGTGGGTGGCGCATTTACGTTTTGGATGTCTATGGGCTCCAGTAACCACTTAACACCAGGCGGGCTGTGAGCTCGTCCACCCATCTAAACAATAAACAATAAATAAATAAAAGAAAAGTAAATCTATATTTTTAATTGAAAATTAGACGGCAACCAGCACAATATTTAAATATCGACAAATAACAACTAGGTCGGCCGTGATCATTAAATTCTACAGAGTTCGAAAAATGGGAAATAATATGTATAGGTATAATGGACATCACTGTCTACTGTAAACCGTAAAAGGATTATTTTTGAAGAAAAGATTACTGGTGGCCCAGAGGTCTTCCAGTTTTTTCAGAACAGGTGGACGAGCACGTGTTCAGCCAGGATGGGTGGTATTTGCTAACAGCTGCCCGAGTGACTCCGAATGAGACCTAAATGATTAAGAGCAGCTGCCTCGCAAATGCAAAAAAATGTAATGCGTTTTTTACCGTATTTGTATGAAAATCGTAAATATTTAGAAAATCGGAAATTGTAAATTGAATAAAATTGACGCGATATTAAATAAATAAAAAGTTTTCATTGAATTCTCGCTAAAAAAAAACTAAACTAAACTAAACCAAAATTTTCTTACCGTTTTTTCCGAATTAAGACCATGATTAAAAGTAATTGATTTGGTGAATTCGCGTTTATTATTTTCACTATACAAATTTCGACATTAACAATACTGTTCGGTTTCCGGGGAATAGGTATTCGTAATGTAAAAACATTTATCAAACTAGTATCTATTAATTGATATTGTTCTAATAATTTTTAAAACAATTTAAGAAAATAAAAAGGTGTTGTCTTACAATCAAGAACATTTTCGTCAAAACACCTTGTACATTCAGTTTAAATAATGGCCTAATTATGTTGTGGGTAGGTGTAAAACTTGCGCAAAATCATGAGATCCAAGTTTCTTTGAGCCTTACGGAACAAAGGAGACACAAGGGCCGCCCACGCTCGACTTCATAGGACGGTATAAAGAGATCAAGTTAGCCCAGTTTCCAGAACAGACAAATTAGTTTTCCAACGATTGAAGAGTCCCGACCCTAGATAATAGAAAAAGGACGTTTACAAGGACAAAATTATTGTTTATTTATAAAGTATTCACTGAATAATAATATAGTATTTACTGACTGACACTGTAGTGTAGTGGTTAGCGCTCTTATCTGCCGCGCCGAGGGTCGTGGTTTCGATTCCACATCGGGCAAATATTCGAACAGTTTGTTTATTCTTTGTCTGGGTGTTTATTATCCATATATATATATATATATATATATATATTTAAACGTATGTCAGTCTCTGGTACCTATAACACAAGCGATCCTAATTTGGAGCCGGATGATCGTGCATGATTTGTTTGTTCCTAGTTATTATTATAGTTATTAATAATTAAAACTTTTACTGGTGGTAGGACCTCTTGTGAGTCCGCGCGGGTAGGTACCACCGCCCTCTCTATTTCTGCCGTGAAGCAATAATGCGTTTCGGTTTGAAGGGTGGGGCAGCCGTTGTAACTATACTTGAGACCTTAGAACTTATATCTCAAGGTGGGTGGCGCATTTACGTCGTAGATGTCTATGG